CTCCTCCTCATCGCCAAGGATTGCTTCAACTCTTCGGGATCACTCTCGTACTCCGATTCTCCTGCGTCATCTGTCGCCATGACTGATAAATTATCTCTAGAGAAACCCTGAAAAGAAGATCCAACTCGTAAATCCAAAACCCTAGATGAAGAAATCAAGGACTCAGATTATAAGAATTGCGGGAAAACTTAGCTCTCTCTCTCGCTCACCTTAACCCTATTTTACCTCCAGAGGCGGTCCTTTTTTGCGATTTTGGGCGTTTTTTTCCAATAAAATCGAAATATGTAATCCATAGTAAATATAACAAATTTTTAAATATAAAATTATTAAAACACACAATCTTTTTTCATTTTATTCAATTTTATACTTTTTCTTTCATCCTTTTATTCAATTTTTATTAATTTTATATTTAAACACTTTCTCTTCCTTTCAAAAATACTCTCCAAAATTTCTTAAATAAGAAACTCTCTCTTTCTTTTACTCAATTTTTATTAATTTTATATTTAAACACACCAACTATCTCCTCTCTTTACTCAAATTTTATTAATTTTATATTTCAATACACCCCACAAAAACACATTCTCTCTTCCTTTTACTTAAATTTTAATAATTTTATATTTTAAAAACTCATATATTTACTCTTATTACCCACCTATAATCATGCTCTAACAACACAAAAGCCTTTAAACTTCTTTTGACTTTTCTTCCCTTTTCATTTAACTTCTTTGACTTATGAATATCCAAATACTGTATATTGGAACCAAAAAAATCCTTAAAAATACACAAAAGTAATCGATTTTGTGAGAATTTTTTTTTATTTTTCATTTAACAGACAACATACTCTAGTTTGATTTTTTTTTTATTGTTACTTTGGATTGGTTATATATATATTTTGTTTGATTTGAGAATGCTCTACTTCCACATAACTCCATAGTTTGTGTTAAATTGTTGGGCATGGGTTTCAACAGTAGTCACTTTTAAAGCCCACTTCCGAAAAAGCCCAGCGAACAGAAGTCCAACGAGTTCGGCCAAGAAGGTGGAAGTCCAACGAGTTCGGCCAAGAAGGTGGAAGTCCGACGAGCTCGCCCCAGTAACTGACGATCCAGGCCCAGAGAAAGCCCAGCCTTCTTCTGCAGTGAATGACGTCAGCACTAGTCCCAAGGCAACCCTAGTACCTTATTCTATCCACTTTTAGTATAAATAGGGGTCCCCATCCCATGAGTTGTATCATCACTTTTCCACTTTTGGGNAAGTACAAGNGAATTTNAGAGNTAAAGCAATCATTCTCTAACACCAAAAAGGAAAGAACGGCCTGATCGAACCCGATCGATCAGAAAGTACAAGAATTATTCATAGAAAGGCGGCGCAGAGTTCGTTCTTATCACATCGATATTCCGACCTCAAGTGCTCTTATCACCAGGTTCCGACCTCCGATTCACCGACCTCGTCATCCAGTTATTAAGTCAATCTAGATCCCTAACCCGATCTCGTTTTCAGATACAGGTTCCGACCTCGAAAATGACGATCTCATTCCACATCCCGATACTCAGAAAACCGAACACAAGGTTCGTCAACCGATCTAAGCTTCCGAGCTCCATACACAATCTTTTCTAGCACGAATAATATAACATGTTGTAGCCCGTTTCCGAGTTAATATCAATAAACGGGAATTTTCGATCCTCTTACTGTATATAAATTTATTGTCGAACTCATGGATCAACAATTGGCGCCCCAGGTAGGGGACCGAAATTCTCCAACTCACGATATAAACTCGGAAATGGACGGAATTCAGCAAGAGCGAGCCCTTGACGACCAAGTTATCCTCGACACTCCGGATTGCCCTCAAGTCGTCCAAACAATGGCCGCCCAGAGAAGGCGCGTGGAGCTTGAACCAGGGGCACCCATGACCGAAGAAGCAGCGGTCGCCTCGGCTCAGGACGCAATGGCCGCCATGATGGAGGTCATCATGCAACGTTTTGATCGTCAGGAAGAGCAGACTCGCAGCACCAACACACGGCTCGACCTTCTCAGCTCGGCACAGGCCGGTTACCGAGCACAACTAGACCAGCTTCAACCGAGATCGACCCAAGATTCACTGCGGGCTCGATGAAGTTCGTCGCCGACCCCGGAGCGCCGAAACCAGAATCGAGACGACCGGACGATTGGCTAATCTTACAATCGATCAGACGCTAGCAAACCCCAGCAACTCAGGAGCCATTCGGTCAAGCTCCCAGCACCGCGATTCGATCTCAACCGAAGAACGAAGGATGCAGCCCCGGGCTCAAGACTCTGAGATCGAGGGAATGAAAGCCCGGCTAAGGGACATTA